TAGAGGAGATTTTTCATAACACTCTCTCTGTTTTTTAAAGGTATTATACTGAGGTACAATATAGAACAGCTTCATCAAATTCTTTTGTTACTTTGGTTGCTCACTTAATGGTGACTAGTATGACAAACCAGGAAACAGGCATGGCAGAACATGAAGTCCAGGACATAAGGTTCACCTCTACAGTCACTGAGGAAATTCAGGCAGGTTCATCATTAATACATTATAAACATTAAGTAACATTAAAAGTAAAAAAAAATATTCACGGTTAAAAAAACCACCCTGTATTCTTAAATAATTCAAAAAATGTATCATGAAATGTTGTCTCCTTTATATCTTAGCAACTTGAAGTTACCAAATCTGGCAATGGGGGAGGCACATTTGATGTTCAGACTGTAACAATTTCAGGCGATGAAAATGCTCTTTTTGTCCTCGGACTTGATGGTGTTTATACTGGTTAGTTGTTAAAAACCAAATTAAACTGTACATAGCGTAGAGCATTTTTTCAGTCGGGTATCATTGATTTTGTCTTTATTTTATGTCTGGACTCACAGTTGAGTTATGTATTTGTAATCTAAACAGTTTGTTTATGAAACACATGCTCCAAAAGGGATTTAAATTATGCAATTTGGTAAAGTTCTATTTGAGAATTCTTTTTTGTTTCCGAAGCCTTTGCTAAAACCAGTGGGATGTATGTTTTATTGTTTTTAGACCAAAATAACTTGTGACCACACTGTAACTCTTTTTAAAAAAAAAAATTATTTCAGTTCCCATGAAGACAGGCAAAATATCTTCAAGTTCAGTCCAAAATGAACTCAAAAAATTACCCAGTGTTAACTTTATTGTCAAGGTAGACTTGACTTTGGGCTCCTCTGTTGTTATGGTTATTACTTCAGAATCATCTCAAGGTGATATTTTATTTGGATAAAAATTTTTAGCCTTCTGATTATATTTGATTGCATTTAAAAAAACAAAAAAACATTCACACTTAATTTTTGGCATATTTAATTATAACTGTAACCCAATTGAGATTTTTTTTTCTTTATGTAATATTTGCAGCAGAATAGAAAATGTTTAAAATAAAATAATGTTATAATAAGATAGTAGCTACTTTGCTAACCTTATGAGACTTTAAACAAATCATATTCTAGAAAGTTTTTAACAAGTTTAAGTCTCCAAATATTCTGTTAGGCAGGTTTAGGATATCATTAAAAGGATTTCCCAATCCATGACAGATCAGGGTAAGAGGGACTCTTTTTTATTTTAATTAATTTCAATTTTACTTCACCACAAGTTAGTTCAAGGCCATCAACCATTTCTAGCCCCCCCCCCCTCCCCCCAACAAGGCAGTCCACTGTGGCCACTGTCAATACAACCCATTATAGAAATAAACATGTAAATAAGAAATAAATTTTAAAAAATATTTATTGCTTGTCCAAAAATAAATCAGTGGTAAAACATTTATGATAAATACAGGGTAATAAGGGGAGATTTTATGATAAATACAATAAACAGAGAAGATTAATCAACACAGATGTTTTGTCATATAACATGTAAATTATTATAGTATAGTTTAATTTGAAGTAAAAAAATATATATATTTTTTTTAATCAAGGTTCCATCAGTGCGTACAGTTTACAAACAGTTGATGAACATGGAAAAGGATTAACTTTTAAAGTAGTTAGAACAACACCAGGGAAGCCATCCTTGGATACATATACTCTGACAATGAATGATGTTCCAACCAGGCCTATTAAACTAAATGGCAAAAGTGCTGATGTAATGTTATATAAATGTTTATTTTTTTTAAAGTTCCATAAACATAATTTTGAACTTTTGGCCACCATAACAGATACACTTAATTGTATTTGAATAGAGAAATTAAAAAAATTGAAGAAAAAAATATTGTAAGGCTGACATGTTTACACTTTGAAAAATAATTTTGTCTAGTTAAAGGAAAATAGTTAACATTGGATTATGTTTTGAGTTTTTTCAGTTATAATTATAATGGCTGGTTACTCCTATCTTCCACAACTATAATTATATTGATCACATTTAAAACACTTAATTTTAATTATCTTTTGTTACATTCTTCATTTTTATAACAGAGAATGTAGTCCTTATCTTCATTTAGCACATATTATACATTGAAGATTGAGAAAATAAATGTGTTTTTTAATAGTTTAAGTTGCTACTTAAATGTCACTATTTAGAAGTTCAATGAGCCAATTCAGCCCAAAGACTTATCAAAAATTTTATGCTAGTGACAGTTTTCCATTTCCTAGAAATTAGTGTAATGTTTTAAAATTGTTAACAACATTTATGTAGGATCACCTTATGAAGTTTTTTATTTAAATAATTAAGTCTATATCTAATATTCACATCATTCATGTAGTAAATTTGTAAAGATTAAACCCTTGAAATACATTAGTCATAAAACAAGAATTTTTAAAATTAAATTAATAAAATCAATTATTTTCCACTCTCCTTTATTTTTTTTATATTAAAAAAACAAAACTTTTTTTTATTTTAAAACTGATAATCAGCAGTAAAATGAAACTATTATGACTTTCTTTTTATGTTCTCATAAAAAATACATCAGCTATAAAATTTCAAAATAAATATAATATTAATTGCAGTTAAAGAATGCTTTGGACGAACTTTTTAGTGTCCGATGTCACACTATTCTAAAGTCAGGCACATATGTTCAAGACTACGAGACAGATAAAACAAGCATTACTGGCAGAGCGTCTGAAATCGAGCCATTTTGTGGGTACTACTCTTTGAAAAATCCCAACTACATCTACCATAAGGGAAAAGCATCTGGTATTACTGTGTCAACAACCAACAATAGATATGTAAGAATTTTTTTAAAAATCTGTCTCCTTTAGAAAAAATTGCTAATTTTATAAATTAGGCTTAACAGAATATATTGAAATATTTTAAGCATGGATAGGTTTGCAGCTTAAATAAAAATTTTGAATTGTTTTAAAAATGTCAATTTCTCAAGGTTTTGTTAAATCCAGACAATAAGCAGAATCTTTCAAATCAAAATTCAAAGTTGTAATTTTAAAATATTTTAAGTTCTTAAAAATTTCTAGGATGGTAGAAATGTTAAGTGAGGAGTTAAGATTCGAGTTTTACGTGATTTCTTTTATGTAAATCTTTTACTGTAATATACAAATATCTATAACACGGTTTGTCAACCGTAAACAGCAAATAATTTCTATCATGCAGTTGTGTTTTGCTTACAAAGGAGTGATAAAGCTCATCAAAGTTGGTTTCTCCTTTAAGAATCTGGATAACAAAGTAGTTGAGACGTATATATTTTTTTATGTTCCAAATGACACACCAGATGAGTGAGTAACATAAATTACTTATGCTTCATTTTCAAAGCCCTATTTCTGAAATCAAACCAATCAAAATAACCACTGATATTGTAATGTAAAATTCATAATTCATAGAGAAAGACAATAATTTTTAATACACATTTTAAAAAATTAGAGTAAAGACTATTTGGCTACACTACATCATAATTCATAAAATGTTGATCTTACCTTGTTATTTTATTATAGCTTTTTGTGTTCTTGAAAAAGATTCAATTACTTCAACCTTTCTCTTGAAACATTTGAAATATTCTGGATTTATGAAGAATTTTGTAATTAATAATTATAACAAAAAATGATACAATTTTTTTTATAAATTTTAAGAACATATTTCAGTCTTAGATTTTAATTCAGTTATTAAAAGTTTTGCTGTTTTTTCACATAGTGAGATACAGATAGATTGGGAGGTTACTTAAAAATAAAAATTGTTTTATTGAAAATTCCAACATCAAATTTTTAAAAACATTATCAATGATTGTTTAATGTGCTATAATAAAAAAATATGGTGTCCAATCAGGTTGTGACAGTATTAGAACCCATGTTGACTTAGGCTCTAATAAGTGAAATAAGGGGCCTTCATTAAGCCAAACCAATTATCAGGTTGAAAATAGCAAATTCTATAATGTTGTCATTTCAATCACATCCTCAAAGATAGCATTTGAAACAATTGTTAACTGAGACTGAGGCTCTCTTATTTTAATAACATTTTTTGTAAAGCTAAATCAGTGCAATAAATGCATTTTTTTGGCAATATATTTGATTTTAATTTCAGATGGAAATATCACTGTGAAGATGTTTATACACCATTTACTTCCCGGCCCAGTAACAAAGGAACCGGTGCTAAAGTTGATTACGTGCAAGCTCAGAGGCAAAATTTAGACACTGATCTCTACATTGACCAGCTTATGTTTAGCAGGGAATCCATAGTTCCTGTTGCTGGTAACTTAATGATAGGTTTTAAACATAGCAAATATTATCTATCTAGAAGTTCATTGTTATTTTGTATATTGAAGGATTATGAAATAAGTTTTTAGCCTTTATTTAGGAAGTAATAATAATTTATTTATTTTGAATATAGTTTAAAAAAAATTTAAAAAATTGTTAAAATAACTAATTAAATAATGAATAAACGTTTTTTTTTTTTTTTACCAGTGAAGTATATATATTTCAACCTTTAAAAAATTTGATCTAGATTTTAACTTCAATTTATGGCGGATGCGTCAGTCTGAGTCAAAGTACATTTTCATAGAAACTCTTGAGGTAGAAGGTGCATTTCCTTTGTTTACAATAAAAATGAAGCCTCGCAACTGTGGTTATAATATTCCACTCTTTGGTGTTGCAGGAGCCACTGTAAGTACAGGCTGACTAGAGTGTTTTAATTTGTTATATTGTTTCAGTTCACTGTAAATGGTTAATTATATTATCAGGAATATAAATCAAAGATAAATTTTAAAAATTTCACTTTATCAGAATGTTTAAATCCCAATTTTAGACTTCCCAGGCTATGAAAAATTCAGTTAATCCATGTCATCAAATTTTCTGTTCAAAAGTTTTATAAAATGAAAATGACAAAAACTATGTCAGTGTTATTTTATTACCCACAGAAATCAGGTTCCAGTTACACAATTAAAAACAAAGGCTCATTAAGTGTGAAAGTAACATCAATCCAGAAAGCCTCACCTCCTATAGCCGGCAGCTTCACTGTAACCTTCAAGGGTGATACCACAGCAGGTATAAAAGAATATTTTAACACTTTATAACTTTTATATCAGCATAGTGCCAAATAGTGTCAGTTTAACATAGCAGCAATGAAAATTCATGAATAAACTTCACTTTGCTGCATGCAATGTTTTTGCTTCCTAACTATCTTGTTTTTAAGTATATTTTGTCAAATTTTGAGTAATTAACACCAATGAAAGCAATTGTATCAAAATTTGACTTGTAAAAGTGAAATAAATATTATCTGCCTTAGCCTGACATAGTTATTGAGTTTACCATCTTATAACCTTATTTTTTACATACCGTGTGGAAAATGTCTTGTGAATAGATAAGTTTTTTAACTCTGTGGGATATGTGGATATAAAGTATTAAAGAATGAAAGCTTTGGTTGTTTGAGATAAGTTCAGACTGGACAGAGCGTACAAAATACTGCAGCGCAAATTGTATCACGGATAAAGTAATCTGACCACATCACCCATTTCTTAAAGATCTTTACTGGGGTCCATTGAGGGAGTGCATTGACCACAAAATTCATTCTGTCTCTGGCGTACCACTGTATGGAAGGCTCTGCACCTGAATATCTTAAAGTAGGGCCTTCTTATTTCCAAACATGTATCTGTAGAGAACCTACGCTCTGCATCACAGTCCTTACTGAGTATTCCCAGTGTGGATGGACACAGAAAGAATTCATACAGAGTGCGCTCTTTTGCAGCAATAGTGCCGAAATTCTGGAACAGTTTGCCTCAATCTTTGAGGGAAAATAAAAATAATAAATCATATAAAAGATATTTAAAGACATTTTTGTTTAAATATATTTTATGACATTAGAGCGCATTGAGCATGCTAGAATATTATGAAGACAAACACTATACAAGTAATCAATCATCATCATCAATATTTTTTCTTCCATTGGACATACTAACTAAAATTTAAATTTGTCTTTTCTGTCCTTTATCAAAATACATTACTTAAACATTGAATGTATTTGTAATCAGTGGTGTACGAAGGGGGATGCAGAGGGAGGGGGCCTCAGGCAGTACTTTTTTATTTATTTGGAGGTGTCGCAATTTCAGCTAACTCCAATTTTTGTGTGGAAGAAGGTGGAAAAAAATTGGGTCAAAAATTTTGACCCAACTCTTATGGCCCTAACCCTTGATATACCACTGAGTGTAATATTTTTAATGAATTTTAACTCCCAGTTTTGAGAGTAGCTTATTTTCATTTCACCTCAATAGATTCTGTTTAATAACGTATCATTGAAAAGTTCCAATGTGACCGGCACCTTTAACTAAAACACATTTTCAAAAGACAATATGTTTTAATTTTGTTCTAGCTCTAAATTGTATTCACTTTAAACAACTTATATATTTGAATGTTTATATTATTGTCAAAATATTATAAAACACTTATAAGACATCACACTTGGCTATACGCAAAACTCAGACCCCCATTTCATTCCCTATTTAAATAAATTTTATAAACATATTTCATTTTGAAATAAGAGAATACCAGCTGGAAGTTCAATTTGTGTTACTTCAATTATTCAATAATCATTGAAATCTATTGCCATTGACAAATCCAATATTATCATTGTTAAAGGGTGTAAATTTGTTTTTGACAGAGCCCATAAAAATTCCCAACATTATGTCTCCCCACAACCTGATTGGTGGATTAAACTCCATGTCTGTTGGCTTCAGTGATGTTGTAGCAACAGGAAAATGTTCAGATTTTAGTTATAGGGTCACGATGCTATCACAGACTGGCGACCAACCTTTGATGGAGGTAGGCTAATGTTCTTTTTAAGCAAACAACTTAAATGCATGATCTGGTGATTTTATTTCATGTTATTAATAGAAGTATTTTAAGAAAATAACATATAAATTAACTGTTGATTTATTTTGTTATTGACTTTAAATGTACCTGCTACGGATTGTCTTGTTTGTCAGATTAATAGTAAAGGAGTGACAGGACTTAATCTGAATGTCACGGTACAAACTATAACAGATGGGGGCGTGTGGTTTGATCCCATCTCTGGAGACATGTTGCGGACATATCACACCACACCTCAAGTGATTGCATTTATTAACAAGGTTCCAACTCGCTGTGAAAAGGGAATTTCTTGTGCCTTTTCTTGGTCTACTGCCCACACTCCATCTATAACTCATATTAACCCAACATCAGGTAAATAACTAGAAATATAAAAAAAATTCAAAACCAAATAACGTATGTCATTTTCAATTACAAGCATTTTTTTTTTTTGAGTATTAAAAATGTATTTATATTTGTACTATTTATTTTTAAACAAACAAACAAATGTTACATTCAGGCTCAGCTGGAGCTTCAGTTCAAATTTCTGGTAGTGGATTTGATGCGAGTAACCCTGGAAACAACCGAGTTATTATTGGAAGTGCAGCATGCTCAGCTACAAAGGCGACAGCTACTCTCATTACATGTACTCTGGGTAATGGTGCCACGAGCACTGCTGATGTCAAGGTTATAGTGGACAAAAAAGGATTAGCTCAAGGATCAGTAAAATTTACGTACATTACTGGGGTAAAATCTTACTCTCCAAAAAGTGGAAGTTTTGAAGGTATGAGTTGACAGCATAAGAGTTTTAGTTACTATTTATAGCATTTTAAAGCCGGGGCTCACTCAGTTAGATCGTTCCATCTACTTTGTGAGTTTTGAGTCAGGGTGTAAGATTCTAGTAAGAGTTGTATAATTTTAGTCAAAACCAAATAAGGCTATCCATTGCCCATCTATTTATACACATCTTTTCTGTTAGAAATTCTTGATGTATTTCTCTATCTCTAGTTCAATTGTAATGTTTTTGAATATAGTCATGCCTTAATTTTAAAATGATTAATTTTTTTTATACCAATTTTTTATTATTTAAGCTAGGTCCTATCGTTCATTTGAAACAGTATTGTAGCGTACCACTGATATTATTAATTTTTTTCCCTTTAAAACAGGGGGGACGTTGATAACAATCAATGGATATGGGTTTACATCAGATGCTTTGGTGAAGATTGGTGGAGTTGAATGTAAAATAGAAACAATTGTGGAGTCTATAATAAAATGCAGGTCCCCAAAATCTGTGAGTATTAAGTTACCTCTACATAAAACTGTATTTTTTTTTCTTTAAATTGATCTGTTTTGAAGCAGTATGTAATTATTTTGTTTATAAGTATTATGGGATTTTTTTTCCTTTGACTAGACTTCGACATCTACCTCAGAAATTGAGGAAATAAATCTCAGTCAGCCTGGTAGTTCCCTGAAAGTTGGAACATTTACATATGATAGAAGTCCAACATTTACTCCAGTTGTGACCTCAATCTCACAGTCTACTAGCGGAATATCAGGTATTGATAAGTTTTTTAAAGTCCTTTATATTAACTTCTCCTTTGTTCATGGTTGAGTGGTGGGCAAAATGTTCGGATGACTCATTGACCCACTTCACATCAATCTATTGAGCTGAAACTTGACACATAGACTCGTTGCCAAAAAAAACCACATTCTCTCAAATTTTCAGCTCCACCCCCCCCCAAATTTTTTTTCTTCTGTTTTCCAAGGGCAATATGAAGGAAAATTCCTGATAACTGCGCTAAATGAGATTCTTTTTAAAAAAATGTGCAAATACGTTTGGCGCATAATATTTTCTTTTGTTTTTCTGAAATGGAGGGTGAAATAAATCTGCAGTGTACAAGTGGGTAGGTCATTAGAATATTAATAAAGTTCAGGGTTGTGAAAAAAAATGTGAGGTTGTGATCTGAAGGTGGGGGGTGTACTAATTGAGATTCGAATAAAGTGTGTTACTTGTATGCAAGTTTTGTCAAATTTTCATCCCCACCCCTGTATTACTCAATATTACACTTTATAAGGGATTTATATGAAAAACTATGTTTTTTTACGGTTGTTAAATAATGAACAAGCATTT